TGACAAGATAAAAGAGATTTTGTTAGCCCGGTATGCGGTAACTCCTGAAGCCCATAGAAGGAAATTCAGAGCCCTCAGAAGACAAGGCAAGGATTCATATACGGAGTGGGCATTTCGTATGCAACGCGCTGCCAATAATTGGATGCAGGGGAATCAGGCAACTACTCTAGAGGATGCTGTACAATTATTATTACTGGAACAATTTTTGGATTATACATCAGCGGAGGTGAGAGACTGGGTCAGAGACAGAAAGCCAAAAACGGTGGAAGAGGCAGCAAGGCTGGCAGATGAATTTCATGAGAGCCGGCGGATGGATGGCAACCGAGGGGTCCAGAGCCAGCGGCCTGCCTCTGCCCCGCCAACTATGCCCCAGAGGGTACCCCCACCAGGGGGCAATACCACAACCCTGGGGTACCAAAAGACCGCTCCAATGTGTTATGGGTGCAAACAAGTGGGGCACATCAAACCTAATTGCCCACAACGCACTACAGACCGCTGGGGGCGGGCACCGATACCACCAACAAAAGCAGCTGCCCACTGTGTGCAGGAGGATTACAACCCTCTGACTCAAGAGACACCCAGTAGCCATAGTGAAAATTGGGCCACCTTGCATGAGGTGAACCCTGTCCAAGCGGCTGGGGATAACAGGGCGCATCATCGCCAGTCGGTCAAGCTCAATGGGCAAGAGGCTCGGGGACTAAGAGACAGTGGAGCTACGATTACCTTGGTTCAGCCACACCGAGTCACCCCGACCCAGCACACCGGACGCACCATTGCTGTAAGGGTGGCCGGAGGGGCAATTCACAAGTTACCAACAGCCCGGGTTCATATTGATTGGGGTACAGGGGCCAAGGCCGTGGAAGTGGGCATCATGCCAGATTTACCCGCGGAAGTATTACTGGGAAATGATCTGGGATGCCTGACGTCCCAATTGGCAGCCTACAGTACTGAAGGAGCACTACCTGTTACCACCCGGCAGCAATCCAGAGCTATGGAAGCCTCCCCCTCAACCCATGACCAGGTAAGCAATAACCCTCTGACGATTCCCCCTGACCACACTTCTTACTGGGGTACCCCTCAAGACTTTGAGCAAGCCCAACGGGAAGATCCCACTTTAAAAGGGTATCGGAGGGAGGCAGAACAACCCCAGGGAGACGGAGATCAGGCAAGGTTTAGCTGGGAAAAGGGTTTACTGTACCGAGTGACTGGGGGAACAGGGACAGGAGCGGGCCAGGTAGAGAAAAGACAGTTAATAGTGCCCCGCAAGTATCGAGTGGAACTGTTACGGATTAGCCACGATATTCCCCTAGCAGGTCACTTGGGCATTAAAAAGACGAGAGACAGACTCACCCAGTCCTTTTTTTGGCCAGGGGTCACTAGAGATTTGCAGGATTATTGCAGGACCTGCGAAGTATGTCAAAAGGTAGGGAAGAGAGGGGATCACCCCAGGGCAAAACTACGTCCCCTACCCATTATTGAGGAACCATTTTTCCGAGTGGCAGTCGATTTAGTCGGGCCACTCAGTAAACCCAGTCCATCCGGTAAGAAATATATTCTTACTGTGGTGGACTACGCTACCCGCTACCCCGAAGCTATAGCCCTGTCAAATATACATGCAGAGACGGTAGCGGAAGCCCTAGTTCAGGTATTCACTAGGGTGGGATTCCCTAGAGAGATAGTGTCAGATCAGGGAACCCAATTCACCGCGGTCGTTACCCAGCAACTCTGGCAGAGCTGTGGGGTAAAACCCATATTAAGTTCTCCCTATCACCCCCAAACCAACGGCCTCTGCGAACGCTTTAATGGCACCCTTAAGCAAATGCTCATCACGTTCACAGAGACCTGTAGGAATTGGGAAAAGTTCCTCCCTCATTTGCTCTTTGCCTATAGGGAAGTTCCCCAGGAGTCCACCGGATTCTCCCCGTTCGAGCTATTATACGGGAGACGGGTCCGGGGACCCCTGGATCTGGTACGGGAACATTGGGAAGGTGATATAGAACAAGCAGGTACCCCTATAGTCTCCTTTGTTTTAGAGTTGAGGGACCGGCTACAGGCGCTGACCGAAACAGTTCGGGAGAACCTGCGAGCCGCCCAACAACGGCAGAAGTACTGGTATGACAAAGGAGCTAGGGACCGTATATTAGAAGTAGGACAGAAGGTCCTAGTGCTTAAACCCATCAAAACGGATACGTTGCAAGCATCCTGGCAGGGCCCCTACACAGTAATAGAGCGGATCAGTGATACCACGTACATTGTGGCAGACTGTTCCAATGAAAGGATCCGGCGGTCCTTTCATATAAATATGCTTAAGCCATATCTGGAGAGACCAGAGGAGGTCTCCGCGGTATGCGCTCCAGCATATGAAGATAGCGAGAATATTCCCTTACCAGATATGCTCCCTCAGAAACCCACAGGAGTGGACCAAGTACAGTTGGGTCCAGCATTAGGGCCCGAGGAACAAGCTCAGGCGTCCCAACTGCTAAAGGAATTCGGGGGCATGTTTTCAGCAGCCCCAGGGTATACGACCCTGGCAGTCCACAGAGTGGAGACCCCAGGCCAGTTACCCCTGCGGCAGCAGCCTTACCGAATTCCAGAGGCAGTACGGGAAAGCATGTTAACAGAACTCCAGGACATGTTAGAACTGGGGGTCATAGAACCGTCCCAAAGCCCCTGGGCTTCCCCAGTTGTCCTGGTTCCTAAAAAAGACGGTACCACAAGGTTCTGCGTGGACTACCGCAAGTTAAACGATCGGACCGTTACCGATGCCTACCCCATGCCCAGAGTAGACGAGCTGCTAGACCGTATGGCTGGGGGGAATTATTTGACCACTATTGATTTGTGCAAGGGATATTGGCAAATCCCTTTGGAGCCCGAGGCCATTCCAAAATCGGCATTTGTCACCCCATTTGGCCTATACCAGTTTAAGGTTATGCCATTTGGGATGAAGAATGCCCCAGCTACGTTTCAAAGGATGGCGGACCGGCTCCTAGAGGGATTTCAGGGCTTCGCTTGTGCTTACCTGGATGATATAGCTATCTTCAGTGGCACTTGGGAAGCCCACCTGGAGCACATCTCAGTAGTGCTCAACCGCATTCAGAATGCAGGGCTAACCTTGAAGCCTGAGAAATGTCACGTGGGCATGGCTGAGGTCCAATATTTAGGTCACCGGGTAGGGTCAGGGAAACAGAGACCAGAGCCCGCTAAGATTGAGGCCATTACCCAGTGGCCGCAACCCAGGACAAAAACCCAGGTCATGGCGTTCCTAGGCACCGCAGGTTATTACCGGAAATTTGTAGCAGAATACAGTGCCCTTGCCAAACCCTTGACAGACCTCACCAAAAAGTCCCTACCCCGACAAGTAATCTGGTCCCCTGAGTGTGAGGAGGCGTTCCAGAAACTCAAGGCTGCATTAAGTGCATCTCCTGTGTTAGCGGCACCGGATCATACTAAAAGGTTTCTCGTCCACACAGATGCCTCAATGTTTGGACTGGGAGCAGTATTGAGCCAGGTGGGAGACGATGGCATGGATCACCCGGTAGCGTATCTGAGCAGAAAACTGTTACCCCGAGAAGTCAGCTATGCCACTGTGGAGAAAGAGTGTCTGGCACTAGTTTGGGCACTTAAGAAACTACAACCCTACCTGTATGGGCGCTCCTTCACAGTGCTGACGGACCACAACCCCTTAATTTGGCTTAACCGAGTAGCTGGTGACAACCCCAGGTTACTCAGGTGGAGCTTGGCGCTGCAACCCTACAACTTTACAATGCAGTATCGCCCCGGGAAACAGAATGCCAATGCTGATGGCCTGTCCCGACAAACTGAACTGGAAAAGTAATAATTTTTTTGTTTGTTCTGCCTGGGCTACCGGACATCCCTTAGCCGACCCGTTAGGGTCTACGCAGGTATGCCGTTCCATGGGACTAAGGGGGAGCTGTGTAACGAAATCCCCTATTCACAGCCGTCACGAACAAGCCTGTTCGGTTATTTGGAACATTACCATAGGATTTCGTGAAATTGTCAAATAAGGCGAACAAACTACCGAACCACCGACCTCCCACTGAGGTCGTGTGGCGCTCATTGACCACCCTGACTGTTGCGGTTAACCACAAACTAATTGGTATAGCGGGTGGTCCGCGTTCACCTCCCGAACACGTGGCAATCGCCATTTTGGTTTTGTCGAACGCGCAGCGGCAAATGGCGAGGATTCCCTGGAACTGATTTCAGCGACCTATTTTGTCGAACGCCGCTGCTACCTTCACCCATCCTCGTTCATACGGTGGAACCATTCGAAGGAAGGGATAATATTTCATTCGCGCATTAAAGTAGGCGAACGTGGCTGACCCCAGATAGCTATAATAGAGGACTGGCAATCGGTTACAAATACACGAATGGCCAAGGACAGCCAAACTTCAGTCGACGATTCTGGGACCTGTGTTCGTGGGATCTGAGCGCTATTCGCCTAGAATATGCACTCAGATCCAAGCTATCTGGGGATGTGTGGAACTTAAAGTTTATGTTATATAAAAAGAAAGTTATGTATTTTTATTCTGTTTTTGCTAAATATAAAAAGGCATGTTTCTTTACTTCTGGAGATAATTACAGCCCTCTTTGCTACCTTAATCTAATTATCTCCAGGATGGGAAAGAAGGAGTGATTTGTGTAAAGGGGAGTGTTTATCCTATAGCCACTGTGATTGGCTACTGTATTACTTCTGTCCCAGTCTTCCATCTGGTCCCCTAGGGGAGTGTCCACCAGGTGGAAGACCTGCATAAATACCGGGCGGGTAGCCCACAGTAAATCAGATCGTTTTACCCCTTCATGAAGTCTCGACTCATGTTTGGGGAATTGGAAGCTATAATCACTCTGTTCCAGCGGGATTTCGGGAGAAGCTGCAAGGATCATCGCTGCACGTATGCAGGGATCCTTTACAGTTAGTATAATGTGTGAAGATGCTAAATGTTGTGCTGTGGTTTCACTTGACTCTGTTTCTATGTTTTTAGTTATGCGGCCAGTCCGCATGCGAGGGTTCTGGGGATGGAAGACAAAGTTTGGCTTCGTGCAGCATTCAACCCAGTGCTAGAGAAATTCTACACCCAGTCATCAAAACATCTGAAACAGGTAGGAGGACAGGGCTGCACTTTGATGTCCTTGGATATTTAAAGGACCACTATCATGCCAGGAAAACATACTCGTTTTCCTGACACTATAATGCCCCGAGGGTGCCCCCACCCTCAGGGTCCCCCTCCCGCCGGGCTCTGGGGAGAGGAAGGGGTTAAAATCTTACCTTTCTCCAGCGCCGGGTGGGGAGATCTCCTCCTCCTCAGCGACGTCATCGGCTGAATGTGCATGCGCGGCAGGAGCCGAGTGCGCATTCAGCCAGTTCATAGGAAAGCATTTGCAATGCTTTCCTATGGACGCTGGCGTCTTCTCACTGTGATTTTCACAGTGAGAAGCACGCAAGCGCCTCTAGCGGCTGTCAATGAGACAGCCTCTAGAGGCTGGATTAACCCTATTATAAACATACTATGTTTAGAAAAAAAAAAAGGGTTAAGCTGAAGTGGTCTGGGTGCCTATAGTGGTCCTTTAAGCTACAGATAAAATAATGGGCAGATTCTCCCGGAGGGCCGTTTTCTACCAATACTGTGCTCGAGTATGGAAATGTCTCCACAAAACAATTCTCTAGTTGCGTTAACTTTAATGCGATCTTCCAGACTGTTGATAAAAGCGAGAATCTTCATATTCTTTTTTTTTTTTTTTTACTTTAAAATATATCTTGGTACTCTGTTGCTGTATGTTTGAATGACTGGAAATGTCTTTGTCTGCGACTGAAAGTATATCTGACTGAAATGTTTTGATACTGTGCGGAGAACCCAGTGTTAACTTAGGATCACAGTTAATAGTTTCAGTATATTTGGAAAGAACATGTCAAATAACTGCCATTAAATTTTTTCTTAAAATGGCTCTAAACCGTATTACAGCTTTTCTTCTTTTACAGACCGACTTAGAGAACCTTTCACAAGCAAGTAATTTCACTGTATGCCAGGTGGAGAGATGGTTCCGCAGGAGGAGAGACCAAGAGCGGCCAAGCTTGCAGAAGAAGTTTCGGGAAGCCAGGTAGAAGGGGAACTCTAGTCTGGTTTAAGGGATTGGCACCTCTCTAGTCCTAAATTGTTCAGTCACTCAGTGTAGACGTATTCCTGGAAGTAGTGAAGGGTTCTTTAGTCCAAAGCAAAGCTCACTTTACTATCGGTATTCTGTAGGTCTGCCTGTGTCTGGAATTTGAAGTAAACACACTTACTTTGATCTCCCACTGAAACATGCTGAATTCGGAATCGACCAGAATACTTTTATTCGAATATGAATCATATTCATTGCTACTCAAGCATAGAAAATACATCATCAATGTATCGCAAGTATAGTAGAACTTTCTATGACCACCATTTTACGACACAATGGTTTAGTAAAGTAAGGCCTTGTCCCGCAGTGCTTTCGTTCCTTCACTGAATGTCAATGTTACTAACCGAGGATCTATCGTCCCATTTGGCTGCTAAGCTGTTTTGTCTTTCCCTGCTTAGTGAATTCTGCCTTCTTTTGCAGTTGGAGATTCACCTTTTATCTTCTTGCTTTCATTGCTGGCATGGCTGTCCTTGTAGACGTAAGTAGTGTTTGGTTAGTAGTTTGTTTGTTTTTTGTTATTTTTTTGTTTTTACTTTTTTATTTGCACAGCATGAGGTTTTGCAGGAATTTTAAACTTGTTTCTTTTTTAATGCTTTATTTATAATTCAGTATGCACATAATGCTTTAGAAACTGGGTCAGATCAAGTTTGGACTGTCCCTTTACCTATGTAGATCTAAGTTTGAATTGGTTCACAAATCTAATATTTGTTTGGTACTTTAAAGGGTTACTCCAAGCACCATGACCACTTCAGTCTTTTGAAGTGGTCATGGTACCTGGAGGGTATATGTGCTGCATTTTGCTATGAAACGCTTCACATACAGAGTTTAACAGCTCTGCTGCCAGAGATGTCATTAGCCGGCCCAGAAGTAGTTTTCTGTCAGCTAATGTCAGTACTTCTATACTTCTATTCATAGAATGTCATTCATTGGCTGTCCGTGATCTGCTGATGCTCTCAGTGAATGCATAGTCGCCGTGATCTGCACCTGGCTTCTGCAACCTTGCCGAAGCCGGATGTCTTCACAGCCAGGAGGAGGGGACTGTCGGAGTCTGGTAGTACCAGGTAAGAGGCAAATCATTGCAAAATGGCTTGCCTTATTACCAGGGAATGGCACCAGGGTACTCCTGGCAAAATAACCACTACAGCAAGCTGTAATGCTTATGATGCTTGGAGTAACCCTTTAAATTTCAAATTTTACAAAGTGCGTAAAGTCCACTATTACCTTCTTAGCTGCTGTCAAAATCTCATAATTTAAAGTCCTGAGTTTCATCTGAAACGTCTTCTCTTCCCAGAATGTGCAGAGCTTTCTACATCCAATGTTTTATTAAAAGAAGTAGATAAATTACCTCTTGGATAATGTTGTTTCACCATCAACTTGCGGTAATGGCTTAAAATGTAATAAACTGGTCAGCCACAACATTAAAACCACCTGCCTAATATCGTGTAGGTGCCCATCGTGCTGCCAAAACATCACTGAAATGTTGTGGCATCGACTTCACAAGACCACTGAATTTATCCTGTGGTATCTGGCTCCAAGACATTACCAGCAGATCTTTTAAAGGAACACAAACGTGTATTCCTAACCCCATAGTGTTAAAAAAATATATATTTTGCTCCCCCCCCCCCTTTAATTATAGTAAAAACTCACCTTATTTCCCGTGCTGCCCCTGATCCACCTCCATGGCTGACATCAACAGAATTGATAATCTCAGTCAATCACAGTGCTTTCCCACACTGTGCAGCACTGACCCAGGAAGCACCTTCACTGGTTGTAACGGATCACCTGGCACCCCGACTGGATACCTCCGTTAAAGGATGCTCCTAGCGCTTCCTGAGGACTCCAAGCACTGCAGCAGACACCACAACCACCGAACCGGAGAAGCATATGAATCCTCACAAGCATATGAATGCTGTAGACAGTTGAATAGGAACCATACGAATAGGTTTACTCTCCTAGCAGTCAAACTGGAACAGCATACAATAAATCCTTCCCCCAATAATGAGACGACACTTCACTTTGAGGGTTAAAACAGGAACTCCCTGTACTGTCACATACAGTCTCTTTTATTCCCAATCCACAAACATAGTACAGCCCACAGGGCGTTACAAAACAACCAATCACATCACAGTTATATCCCACATATTCCCTCCCCTTATCCTGAGAGGAAACTCAATTATACATACAGTTAAAACATACTTTCTACCCAACTTTCATAACTCCAAAACCATACATCACATTCACATAAAATTACATATTCACAATCAATCCATTCAGGGAACAACATATTCAAAATGGCACAAATCAGACAAGGGGTTCAAAAGTTAGTAAAAAGTCCTTTGTGACTAAATGAAGCATGGCTTTCTGGCCCAAACCAGTTTCAGAGTCTTCTATCCTGGAGATAAGTAATTCAATTATCTCCAGGACAGACACAAGACTCCATTAAGCACATGGTTGCAAAAGACACAAAACACTTTAAAATACATAAAGTCACATTTTACACATAACACACAGACATTTCACATATCCCCAGATAGCTCAGGTCTGAGCGCACATTATTAAGTGAATGGCGCTCGGACCACGCAAATACAGTTTAATCGCCATGGAACCAAAGTCTTTACAGTCAGTTTCATACGAATGGGCTCCATGGGATTCCTATCTGGGGTATAACACATTCACACAAGGTCTGGTCCATAGTCCAAAGGCAAGAGGCGGGCAAGCAGCCCCCTCCAAGGATACGTGGCGAGGCCGGTTTCGCCACATTTCTCCCCTTTACCATCCAAACTAACAGGGCATCTGACCTCCTGCCGGTCAGTGCCCTGGTTAGTCCAGCAACCCACCCACGAAGCACAAGCAGCAATACAGCCCACCCACAATAACTGGTTACTACACCTGGATAAAATAGCAACTTGTCCATGTCCAGGTGCCTCACCACAGCTGTGCGGGGGGCTGGTAGACTGCCTTGGTGGGTTGCTGAGTGGGCAGAAACCAGCGGTACTCTGCCCGGGTGCCAGCGCTACCACTGAAGTAGCCTGGTTGGAGCCTGGTTGGGGGAGGGGGAGACCGACTGTCTCCCCTCTGGATACACTGCTCTGTGGCTGGGGGACAGGACCGACCGTCCCTGCCCCTGGTGCTGCAAGTGCAGAGACTACGGTCCCATCTGCATAGTTGTGGGGCTTAACATCTCCCCTTGGTGGGTTAGGCTGCCGCTGGAGAGAGGGTGTAACAAGCTCCTCTCTCTGAACTGTAGACTGCCGCTGGGGAGAGGGGGTAACCTGCTCCTCTCCCTGACACTCTCTTTGCTGGTGGAGAGGGGGACCAACTGTCTCCCCTTTCAATATTTTGTCCTGCGGCTGGGGTGCGAGACAGATGGTCTCTGCTTCCTGGGGTACACACTGCCGCTGGGGAGGGGGGGTAACAAGCTCCTCTCCCATACATACTTTCAGCCGCTGGGGAGAGGGGATAACAAGCTCCTCTCCCTGACACTCTCTCTGCTGTTGGAGAGGGGGACCAACTGTCTCCCCTTTTAATATATTGCCCTGCTGCTGGGGAGCGAGACCGACTGTCTCCGCTTCCTGCAGGACACACTGCCGCTGGGGAGGAAGTACAGCACCTTCAGCTCCCTGGGATACATACTGCCGCTGGGGATCTGGGCTGACTGCCCAGCATCCCTGTAGGGCCTGTAGAGAGACCTCGGTCCCATCCCCACCTGCCAGCTGGGTGTCTTCCCAGGACAAGTCAATAAGGTCTTCCATCTCTGGGGCTGGTTGGGACATATGTGGTACAGTACCAAGGTTTCCTGATAACAGGCTTGGTTGCTGGGGAGGAGGAACTAAACTCAATGCTTCCGGTGGTATACAGTCCATAAGCCCCATCATGTCAGAGACATGCGGCGTTATACGTTGGAATAGGCAAACATAATCCTGTTCTAGTTCCCACTCTCGGTTGGCAAGAAAAGATAGATCTGGCTAAATGGCATCGATCTCTGTAAGGTCCCAGTTGTCTGCCCGCTCAGCTCGAATGGACCAGAAGCGAGCAATGTCGGTGTCTCCGAACCAGAGACAAGTTTCAATAGTATCCAACAACAAACCAGGGCCATCGTAGTCTTCCCCCTCAATACACTTGTACTCAATCAGCCATGGGTAGAGGTGGTAAACATGCCACCGCAGGGCCCGATAGGAATCATCCAGCCACACCTCAGTCTCAACTAGCGTCTCCAGTTCGCTTACCCATTCCTCTGAGGGCTGGTTTCCCAATAACGGCATCCGCAGCTCTAGTTGTTCTGCTTGGCGCTGGTTAGTGGTCAGGATTTCCTCGCACCGGAAGGGTCGAATTTCGTCGATGTCCTCCTTCCAGAGATCGGTACGAAGCGCCACCCTCCACTCTGTCTCTCTTTCCTCTGGGATAGGATACTCCATACTGCGCATCACATCCTGTAGTCGCTGCTGGAGCCTGGCGTCAAAGTGAGATACTGCACGGCCTTCCATCTCTGAAGTAGTGCTGGTTTTCCCAAATCTTTATGTAGACAGGGACGCTGTATGAACACTAGCGTCACCTTCAATTTGTAAATCCACGAACTGTGTCTCTGAGCTGCTTTACCTCGCACTAGGACGCCATCCCACCGCTTGCCACCAATGTAACGGATCGCCTGGCACCCCGACTGGGTACCTCCGTTGAAAGGATGCTCCTAGCGCTTCCTGAGGACTCCAAGCACTGCAGCAGACACCACAACCACCGAACCGGAGAAGCATATGAATCCTCACAAGCATATGAATGCTGTAGACAGTTGAATAGGAACCATACGAATAGGTTTACTCTCCTAGCAGTCAAACTGGAACAGCATACAATAAATCCTTCCCCCAATAATGAGACGACACTTCACTTTGAGGGTTAAAACAGGAACTCCCTGTACTGTCACATACAGTCTCTTTTATTCCCAATCCACAAACATAGTACAGCCCACAGGGCGTTACAAAACAACCAATCACATCACAGTTACATCCCACATATTCCCTCCCCTTATCCTGAGAGGAAACTCAATTATACATACAGTTAAAACATACTTTCTACCCAACTTTCATAACTCCAAAACCATACATCACATTCACATAAAATTACATATTCACAATCAATCCATTCAGGGGAACAACATATTCAAAAATGGCACAAATCAGACAAGGGGTTCAAAAGTTAGTAAAAAGTCCTTTGTGACTAAATGAAGCATGGCTTTCTGGCCCAAACCAGTTTCAGAGTCTTCTATCCTGGAGATAAGTAATTCAATTATCTCCCAGGACAGACACAAGACTCCATTAAGCACATGGTTGCAAAAGACACAAAACACTTTAAAATACATAAAGTCACATTTTACACATAACACACAGACATTTCACATATCCCCAGATAGCTCAGGTCTGAGCGCACATTATTAAGTGAATGGCGCTCGGACCACACAAATACAGTTTAATCGCCATGGAGCCAAAGTCTTTACAGTCAGTTTCATACGAATGGGCTCCATGGGATTCCTATCTGGGGTATAACACATTCACACAAGGTCTGGTCCATAGTCCAAAGGCAAGAGGCGGGCAAGCAGCCCCCTCCAAGGATACGTGGCGAGGCCGGTTTCGCCACACTGGTCGTCTGAGGAGTGGCCACTACAGGTGTTCCTGGGCTATAATGTAAACACTGCCTCTTCACCTCTTCATTTACAAGATTTGTCATGGCTCTCTTGCCAAAACTGAATTATGATGTAATTTGCTAAATATTTAATATAAATTTAAAATAAAATGGTGTATCTCATAAAAAAAGGTTAACACACATTGTTGGGGAATGTTCAGTGTTTTATTCAGTGGTCTAAGTGGATTTGCACTAAGTACGATTCTGGCTTCTTGTATAGTTTTCCTGCTACTAAGTGTTTGTGTGTATGTGGCTCCATACAGAATGAATGAGGTATGTTCTACCCATTCACCAGGCTGAAAATTTTTTTAATTCTACTGGGGTTTATTCCCTCAATACATTTAAATTTGAACTAAAGGGACATTTCTTTAGCACCCGGTTGCTTTAAGAAGAGGGTCCTGATTATTGAACATAAACATTATTGAACGTATTTGGTTTTCAAATCTATGCATGTGACATCCAGGAAGAATGATTCAGTAGGCAAATGAAGAGGAATGAAGCAAAACGTATTGATGTGCCTCTGTATTACTGTAATATGCAAATGATGGCCTTTCCTGGTGTGGAATGAGATTTGCATTTGGGAGGCCCTCCTCTTTGTGGCAACCTTATTAATCTAGTGGGTTTAAACTGTTTGTTCTCCTTCTAAATTTGTATATTTTTTTTCTTTAGCTGTACAAATGTGCGGTTTGTTGCCTCCTTAATAATGGCTGGTTTGGTGGGAGCTAAATGTAGGCTGTTGGGATATATTCTGGAGCAAATTCCAGCTGTTGAATCTGGAAGGTCTGTTGGCTCAGTCGTGGCTTTGTTCTCTCCATGGCTGCTGCCCAGCTTTCATACATCGCCCCATGGATCCAGCTCCTCAATCTCTTCTGAGCTCGTCATTAGCTCCATCAAAATAAAAGATTTGGGTGTTTTTGTTTTGCCTTGTTTTCTCAGTCATACTGTACACAAGACATTTTTCACCAAACTTCTCTAAAATGTTAACATGGTACTGTGAGTGTTCTATGGGTGTGATTATTTTAATCTGCAATATTCCTAAAATATATCAAAGTGCAGATATTAGTTTATATCTGGACTTGGCTGGAGACTGGCTGAATCTGACAGAGAATACCTTTTTCTGCCTAGCTGCCACTTTAGGGCCAAAAACCCATCATGTTCATTCATGTTATGAGAAATCTGGGAGATAGTGGCACAGGAATGATTTGGGTGGCTATAATTGACCGCCATGCTTTGTGTATGAGCAAAGCTCTGAATTTCTTCACTGCAAAGGCCTCTGCTTGGTGTCCGGGCAATGTATAAACAAGCGTTTCATTTATGGAGGTGTTTTCTGATAATTCCAAAGAGGGTTCTTTCCAGCCCTTTACAATTTTTCTTAAAATATGGGGGTGAGGAAGTGGTGTTGCTTGACTCTGCAAACACTGTCTTCTAGTTTCCACAAGCGACCGCACTGCTCACAATCGTATTTCTTATCATTCTAGAAGCCTTGGTTCCACGATCTCCGGGAGGTCTGGAAGGATTTCCCTAAGCAGGTAACGGTCATTGTGAGACAAAATGTTGACAGTTTTAATTCTCTAAATATTATTTTTATTATTATTATTTGGTTTTGGTCTCTGCTTAACTTTCATTGTTCACGGACTTCAAAACCACATGCAATAGTACTGCTGGCGTCCTGCTGTTATCAGGCCGCTTGCCACGATAATGGATTGGCAGGAGCGAGGGTGTTCCCTCTACCATGTAGCAGTAACGTATGCAGCAGCTAAACGACAATGCGGTGTCAGCTACTTATTACAAACTTCATAAAATATTCCGAAACGTCCTCTAAAACTGTATCTGTATTTTGATGTAAATGTTTTGGGGTATGTCCAGTCTTTTTTAGTAGCCACTTAGTCACAAACACTGGCCAAAGTGTGTGTGTGTGTGTGTGTGTGTGTGTGTGTGTGTGTGTGTGTATATATATATATATATATATATATATATATATATATATATATATATATATATAAGAAAAAAACTAATATTTGCCCAGTGTTTGTGACTAAGTGGCTACTAGAAAAAACGACTGGACATACCCTACTTGGGTTGCCTACTTTTGCAAATGGTATGCCATCATGTGGGTAATTCTCATTCCTGGGCTACCATATGGTCTCAAAGGCAACATAACCAACCTGGCAAATTTCAATGTGAAATAAAATTAAAATGCAAGCATTATATTTGACTCTCTAACTTTCCAAAACACCATAAAACCTGTACATGGGGGGTACTGTTATACTCTGAAGACTTCGCTGAACACAAACATTAGTGTTTCAAAACAGTAAAACATATCACAGCAATTATATCGTCAGTAAAAGTGCCGTTTGTGTGTGAAAAATGCAAAAAATTTCACTGTCACTGACGATATCGTTGTAATAGAATTTACCATTTTGAAACACTAATATTTGTGTTCAGCGATGTCTCCCAAGTAAATCAGTACCCCCTATGTACAGGTTTTATGGTGTCTTGGAAAGTTACAGGGTTAAATATAGTGCTAGCAAATTAAATTCTCAGCACTTTCTGCCTGGGATGTCAAGCACGTCAATCAAATTTTAATTAACAAAATCACATAATTATGTTAAAAGATTACTTAAATACACAGATATATATGTATTTAAATTCTAAGTTTTTTTTGCGGTTATTGGTGTTTCATATATAGATAGATATATAACCTTAACACATCATGTAATATTTATATTAATCTAGGTTTAAAAAAAAAAAAAAAGCCTAAAGTCCATTACGTTTAACCTGAAACCTATATATTTAAAATAATAAAATGTTTGGAAATAAAAAATGTATAAAGGTCTTACGCTAGGGTATTACTGCATTAAGGAGTAAAGGGGAATGCTTGTG